CACGTATAACCGGTTAATTCCTGTACGATCAGTCTCGCGTTAACCGCTCATGGTTCACTTTTCATAACCTTCAAAGAAATGTACTACGTCGAAAGAAGCAGTAGCGGCAGCGACGTCAGAAGACGCGTGAATAATAATTACGTGCCGAGTCGTAATAAAACTTCGTTTGAGAACAAATGTGACGAGTAAGTTTCATTTGACTTTTTTCTATTTTTATAATTTTATTATTATTACTATTATTTAATTTTAATTTTTCTATAGCATTTCGTTGGAGCGTCGTGCGACTCGTATACTAGGTAGACGATACGCATTGACAGCTACGGAATTCAAATTCCTCGAAATTGGTATCAACGTGGGTCCACCGAGTTACATGGAGATTGCCATAGGAGATCATCGAGGAAAGGAACTGATATTATCTCTCGAAACATGGAAAGGACTCTACGAGCAGCGTCGCAATATTCAAAATTTACTTCGGAACGACTCTAAAGATGACTACAATTTTATAAGCGTTGGACCGCTAACAGTGAGAGTTCGTACGATTAACGACGTCAAACTCATAAGTCTCGAAACTTCGGATGTACGCATGATGATGGTCGAATCGACGTTACATCGTATGTTCGATCTCGATCAATGCATAGATGCAACTTTTGATCGATTAGATAAAATTATCCAAACAGTTGATGTTAAATTTACACAATTCTGCAATATCGCGTCCACTGTAACGGATCCGAAAGAAGTATCATATGTAATACGCGCGAGTGATGTTTTCAACAAGCATGAACTCGTCGATTGCGAGCTGGCATCTTTAGCTTTTAATTCTTAATATGTAAGACAAAAATTATATTTGTATACTAAATATATAAACAGAATAAATAGTTATAAATCTATATCATGGTGTACTTTCTTTGCGTTTGGCGCGCTCTCCCGTCCCAGCTTTCATGCATAGCTCCTTGCGAGAGAATTATCATGAGAGAGCAAACACTAGGAAAGAAAGAAAGAGACAGAAGAAGTGATACGGTGCACGTGAGAGAAGAGATATCACACAATGAAAATATTTTTGATAATTTAATATAATTTTTTAATAGTTTTCTTATAATTTAGTAATAAATGGAGCAATGAAAAGAGAGGAAGAGAGGAATTTGGAAAATAAATAAGATTTTTTATATTAATTAATTTTTAATAAAATAAAATAAAATGTGTATTATATACATAGTGTGCAAAAGAATTTAAAATATACAAAATATAAATGTGTATTATATACATAGTGTGCAAAAGAAATTTTAAAGAATTTAAAATATAAATGTGTATTATATACATAGTGTGCAAAAGAAATTTTAAAGAATTTAAAATATAAATGTGTATTATATAAATGTGTATTATATACATAGTGTGCAAAATGAAATTTTAAAGAATTTAAAATACGTAATATATACAATTATATAATACAATTATAAAAGTATAAAAAAGAATACAAAAAATATAAAATGAATAATATATAATTGAATATATAATATATAATATAATAGGAGGGTGATGGCAACGACGATATGGTGGTGGTGGTGGTGTCGATGAGAGGCGATGGTGGGGCGGCGATGAGAGGCGATGGTGGGGCGGCCGGTGGAAGAGTGGTGACTCTTTCTGCACATAAAAAAAAATTTATTAATTATTTGAATAATTTGATAATAAATACCTACACATGCGACCTACCTCCAATTATTGATCAGAATCCGAATCAGAATCATAACTGATCATATATTCAAGATAGTTATGCTGATGGATTCCTCGCATCCTTTCGGAACACGCTTCTCGATTTCCGCCTGGCAAACAGCAATCTCGGCAAATAGTTGCCTCTAATTTGTTCCTCTTTCTAATTCGTATATCCCTCTTTCTAATCTTTATATACGATTTTAGATGGGAGGTCGCGATTGGAGAATTTCTTCCGCCAAGTTCACGATTTCTTAAATATTCCACCACCGACATGTTCATTAATTTTTTATTCCGTTGCTCGCACATTTTAGTCTTATTCACTTTTTTAATGTTTTTTTTCACAACGTTGTGGACACTTTTTTAATGTTTTTTCACGTGCATTGTGGACACATATTGCACGGAAATGTTAGATATAACGGATCTCTGCAATTAGAACAGTATCGTCCATCCGTTGCATCCAATGTCTGAATCACATGTTTTCGTACGGCATACATCTCTATGGGGTCTACACCTTGCAACCTAATCATACAGGACGCACATACTGCTAAAGCGCCGCCAGTCGAGTAATAAAAGGATATCGTGCAATATTTTTTTCGTCCGCTTAATGCATTAATTTCTGCGATAGATACTATTTTTGATCTGACTAGTGCAGAGTCACTATCCTCACTGCAGTCACTAATACAGTCACTGTCGGACGACAACACGCGATCTTCGTCTTCGTTTTCCATTTGATGTATTATCACACAATATATATATCACAGAAGACTAACAGAACACTATCTTTTTTCTGACAAAACACTTTCCGAGAGAACACTATTTTTTGCTATCGACGTGTCGATGCGTTTTCAAATGATGTACTATGATCTGCTGCGCTTCGATCCTTCTTATATTCGACCAACAAGCTTTCAGAGACTGTTGGGGGTTGACACGAAAGAAAATTTTCTTGCAAATGTACCTAGGATCGTAGAAAAAATGCGCTATTATATTACACAGATTGCTTGAAAAGGTTGGACTGAAATATCTCAAAAATGTAAGTTTATGAAATAAAGTCATAAAAATATGTATAAGAGTAAAAAAAAAAAAGAGTATAAAAGGTTTTCTATAGTATCCCATTTGCAAGAAAATTTTCTTTGTGTCCCCCGATAATCTCTGAAAGCTTGTCCGCTTAATCTCTATTGTTTATACGTCGAACGGGAAAAAAAACCTGGAATTATCTATTACGGGTGTACCTCGAGAGTACAAAGCAGCCGAACATCGGCGCTGATATGTAAACGAGGGAGACACCTCCGATTAGTCAATCAAAGCCAATTGTGTCCAATTGTATTGTGTCTAATCGAGTAATCCCCAGACAAAGCAGCCGATCATTAGCGCTATTAAAATTTTTCCTTAAAAAATAAAATTTTTCCTTAAAAAATAAAATAAAATACAATAAAATAAAATACAATAAAATAAAAGAACAATAAAAAGGATTAGGTCCGCAAAATCTTTTTCAAAATATAATAAAATACAATAAAATAAAATAAAAGAACAATAAAAAAGATTAGGTCCCCAAAATCTTTTTCAAAATATAATAAAATACAATAAAATAAAATAAAAGAACAATAAAAAAGATTAGGTCCCCAAAATCTTTTTCAAAATATAATAAAATACAATAAAATAAAAGAACAATAAAAAGGATTAGACCCAAAAAAGGATTAGACCCAAAAAAGGATTAGGCCTAATCCTTTTCAAAAGAATACCGCTCTTTTGTTTATGCTTGTCATTAACGTGACCCCCCCCCCAACCCCCGCGTGACGTCATACCCCCGCTCCGCTGAGATCCCCTCGCACCTCACCTCCCTCAGAGGACCTGGGTTAGAACCGGCCTACTACATCTACTCTTATTGCAAAAAATGTTTCCAAACATTTTGCAGCACTAAGCCAACGTACTGGACAATGAAGTGGGACATCTGTGTGAACAGCATTATGTTCATTGAGAAATAATTGAAATTTCCGATGAGTAAGAAATTTATGTCCACCTTTAATTATATTAATTATTTTAGTCACAGTCTCCATAGCTGTTGACAATTTAATAACTTTACCGCTTAATGCTTCCTGATGTATTATACAATGTATAATAGGGATGTTAAAGTTTCGCTGCTTTAATTGACCGGCGAATCCTATCTTCGAACCTGTCATAGCTTTCGCGCCATCCGTCGTAATCGAAGAACATTTACTAAAATCTACATCAAATTTTTTAAGTGAGTCTTCAACTGCCAAAAAAATATCAAGACCCGTTGTTGTATCATGTAATGAGACAAAATCTAAAAGCTCCTCGACACATGAGAAATCGTCTTGCACGATTCGAGTAAAAATACTCAATTGACTCAAGTGTCGAATATCGGTGCTTTCGTCAAGACATAAAGAAAAATACCTACATGACTTTAAAAGATTTCTTAATTTTTCTCTTACAGAATTACTGATATCAGTAATTCTTGACGTTATTGTTTTTGCACTAAGGGGAATACTCATTGCTTCCTCAAGAGTTAAGGAATTACCGAAAGCTTTCACTGCTTCGATGATGCAGTTTTTCACAAATGAACCTTCGGCAAATGATTTTGAATTTTGTGCTATGAGCAAAGAAATAGCATAAGATGCGATTAAAGATTTTTGAGAAGAATTTTCAGACGGTATTGCATCTTCTTGATACACTAATTTCAATCCTTCGATAATACTCAATTTTTCTGAATTCGAATAATTGGAATATTCGACTGAATGACGAATTCTAAAATGTCTCTCTATTGCAAATTTTTTTACTACCGAAGGTTCAAAACCGCAAAGTAAACAAACTATTCGATCGGAAATGTAACTGAAAAAATAATTAAATTCCCAAGATTTATCAAATTTCTGAACATACCTTTTATCATCCATTCTTAAGATTGAAGAATGAAGATTATTAATCCTTTCACTGCGAACTTGATCTGCTATCAGCTGTCAGAGGCTGTCTCGAAATCAGCTGTCAGAGGTTGTCTCGAATCGTCAATGTGTCCACTATGATTGAGAGAGTTTAAAAGACTCAACACTGATCAACAATTAAAACAAAAAACCTCGTAACAGTCGCTACCGTGCTTTGCAATTGTTTTCTAACGTGCATTCGTTATCAGTGTTGAGTCTTTTAAACTCTCTCAATCATAGTGGACACATTGACGATTCGAGACAACCTCTGACAGCTGATTTCGAGACAGCCTCTGACAGCTGATAGCAGATCAAGTTCGCAGTGAAAGGATTAATAATCTTCATTCTTCAATCTTAAGAATGGATGATAAAAGGTATGTTCAGAAATTTGATAAATCTTGGGAATTTAATTATTTTTTCAGTTACATTTCCGATCGAATAGTTTGTTTACTTTGCGGTTTTGAACCTTCGGTAGTAAAAAAATTTGCAATAGAGAGACATTTTAGAATTCGTCATTCAGTCGAATATTCCAATTATTCGAATTCAGAAAAATTGAGTATTATCGAAGGATTGAAATTAGTGTATCAAGAAGATGCAATACCGTCTGAAAATTCTTCTCAAAAATCTTTAATCGCATCTTATGCTATTTCTTTGCTCATAGCACAAAATTCAAAATCATTTGCCGAAGGTTCATTTGTGAAAAACTGCATCATCGAAGCAGTGAAAGCTTTCGGTAATTCCTTAACTCTTGAGGAAGCAATGAGTATTCCCCTTAGTGCAAAAACAATAACGTCAAGAATTACTGATATCAGTAATTCTGTAAGAGAAAAATTAAGAAATCTTTTAAAGTCATGTAGGTATTTTTCTTTATGTCTTGACGAAAGCACCGATATTCGACACTTGAGTCAATTGAGTATTTTTACTCGAATCGTGCAAGACGATTTCTCATGTGTCGAGGAGCTTTTAGATTTTGTCTCATTACATGATACAACAACGGGTCTTGATATTTTTTTGGCAGTTGAAGACTCACTTAAAAAATTTGATGTAGATTTTAGTAAATGTTCTTCGATTACGACGGATGGCGCGAAAGCTATGACAGGTTCGAAGATAGGATTCGCCGGTCAATTAAAGCAGCGAAACTTTAACATCCCTATTATACATTGTATAATACATCAGGAAGCATTAAGCGGTAAAGTTATTAAATTGTCAACAGCTATGGAGACTGTGACTAAAATAATTAATATAATTAAAGGTGGACATAAATTTCTTACTCATCGGAAATTTCAATTATTTCTCAATGAACATAATGCTGTTCACACAGATGTCCCACTTCATTGTCCAGTACGTTGGCTTAGTGCTGCAAAATGTTTGGAAACATTTTTTGCAATAAGAAAAGAGATCCTCCTTTTCTTGCAAGAAATGAACAATCAAAAATTTCAAGAATATATATCTCTTTTAGAGGATATCACATTTCTTAGCGAACTTGGATTTATTACTGACATGACTAATCAACTTAGGCTTCTCAATTTAAAGCTGCAAAAAACTAATCAAAATATTTCCCAATTAGTTAGTCATGTTGATTCTTTCCGAAGAAAATTACAATTATTCAAATCTCATTTAAATAACGATATTTTTCATTTTTTCCCTTCTTGCCAGATTCTTCTCGAAGAATACGGTAGTAGCTGTGATTTCAAAAAATATATTTATTTCGTAGATTGTCTTATAGAAGAATTCGATACGCGTTTTACCTGTTTCGAAAAACTTAGAAATGAATTAATTCTTTTCGAGAATCCTCTTACAGCGTCAATCGAAGAACAACATCTTGATTTACAAAATGAATTATGTAATTTACAAAGTGATATTTCTTTGAAAACGGTTAAAGAAACTGGTGTTGAATTTTATAAAATTTTATCAAAATTATCCTATCCCAAGCTTCGCGATTTCGGACTCCGAATTTATTCTATGTTCGGATCCACATATTTGTGCGAGACTTCATTTTCAAAAATGAAGTTTATAAAGAATGAGAAACGTTCTTCTTTAAGCGATGATTCTTTATCACGTCTTATGCGACTTGCTACATGCAATATAGAAATTGATGTTCCTGATCTCGCTTCTAAAAAATCCCGAAAGTCATAAATATTCAAATCAATTATTATTTATTATTCTGTGCAATTAGTTCATTTTAGTCATCAGTGGATTAGGCCTACTGGGGATACCACTTTAAAAAAAACGCGTCAACAATAGTACCTCATGGGTGACGCGGAAAGCTATTGCCATATGCCCGTTACTGAGCGCCGAGCGGCTCGTAGGCTTCGCGCGGGACAGCGAGGTAAGGGGGAACGCGATAGGCGGAGCCAGCTGAAAATCGGCCGAAATGTGCAGTTCTTGCCGAGCTCTGATTTAGAACATAGATTTCAAAATTCTACGCTGACATGTAATGAATTCTTTAGAAACGGCTCTTTATAAAAAATAATAATGCAAATTTGATTTAATGATTTTGTGATAATTATATATTTTTAAATATTATATATTTTTAATTATATATTTTTAAATATTTGTAAAATAATATATTTAATTATTAGTTTTATAAATCTCAATTAAGAATTTACAATATTTAATTTTTTTTTCAAGTGAACTGAAGAGATGCGTTTAACAAAAGAAAATAGATTTAAAAGTTAAAAATATGCCTGAACATTGGGAAAAATGTTTATTTTGACATAGAATATAAATTAAAAGTGATGGGTCATTGAGATAAAATGTTTAATTTGAGGACATTTCCGTATATCGATAGTATGTATTGGGAACCGTCTTTAAATTATGCAATTGATATGCAGAGAAATGTCTTCAAATTAAACATTTTATCTCAATATACTTTTAAGACATTTTTTATACCTCAAAATAAATATTTTATCTCAATGTTTTTCAAATATATTTCAAACAGTTTAAATGCTTATTTCTTTTGTTGAATTTATTTCTTTTGTATTTCTTGATTTTGTTTCTTAAAAGAAAAATTAAACTTTGTGAAATATAAATTAAGATTCATAAATCTTTAATAATTGTTTATAATTAAATATATTATTTTTCAAATATTAAAAAATTTAATTGTTATTAAAAATTTACGTTATTAATCTTTATAAAAACCGTAAAGCAATAATTGCGCGTAAATGTAGAGTCTTGAAGTATACGTTCGAAATAAATATTACATACATATTCAGCACTTTTTTAAAAAAAAAAAACAATTGTAGTTAAATGCTAATTGCAAAATTCTTTATATAATTATTATAATATTAAAAATATTATATAAAAAAATATAAAATATTATGAAAATATTAATATCTTTTAAATATGTATTTGAACAACTTGTAAACCAGCTTTATAGCTTTTTATAGATTTTTATATATTTTTATACGCCAAATGTTTAATATGAGGACATTTCCGTCAGGTATGTCAACTGTATAATTTGAGGACAATTCCCAATCAATACCTTTGTCCAATAAATCTCAAAATATGCAATGACTACATAATTGCTATAATTTTCTTATTTATTGTTCTATAAACAAAATTTCAAATTGCATGTTATTTATGAGGTGCCATAGCACTAATTATATAAATAAAAGTGGGATGTCCCAAAACATGCTTTGTGCATATATATATATACGAGTATATATATATATATATATATATATATATATATATGTATATATCAATATATATATATGTTTATATCAATGTGGAAACTGATCCTAGAAATTTATTATCAATTATTATTGTATATTCTCGAGAATAATTGAAAAAATTTGGCATTTATAAATCATTTATTATAAATATTCGAATATTTAATTCTTATTGTTTATACAATATTATTTAATTAGTTTTACAATTTAATTTACATCTCAGTGTATTTCAGATATTTCAAATCTATTTGCCAAAAAAATTTATTTCGTTCCATCAATCATCACTTGGCACATTGAATGTGCCTAGTATTAAGTTGGGATATAGTTCTCAAAAATTTTCTTTACAAGTGATTATAAGTTTTCATATAAATCATGTTCTTATATACATCACCGTTTAAAATTTTCCCGTCTTTACTTCTCCCTCTTACACAAAATTTTTTTCAGAAGTCTACACAATCAAGAATTATAAGAGTTTTATTAATTTAAATTAATATAAATTATTAATTTTTGTTCATTACAAGCATAATACGTGTCCAACGGATATTTTTGCCTCATGACTAATTTTCGATTCTATCATAATCACTATTGGTATTTTTTATGTGACATTTTATATAATATGTCGGAAGAGATTTATTAATTATTCATTATATCATCATTAAGTCATATTAAAAAAATTTAATTTATAATTCTCGTAATTTCTCGAATTTATTCATCAATATATAATGTATAGATTAGAAATTTGCAATTATATATATATATATATATATATATATATATATAAATGATGATATGAATATATATATTTGTATATTATTATATGCCCAGATAGCAAAATCGGATAGAGCACGTTTTGCAATTTATGTGCTGCATACTATGTCAGCAGAATGCTGTCAATATTCTAGCAAAATATGCCGTTTCAGTTAATGTTGTCAGAAACACAGCAAAAGTTGAGCATAACGTGCGTTACGATGTAATGATAGAAATGCAGCAGAAATAAAGCAGAGTTTTACCAGCATAAATAGAACAATTCAATGCTGGAATAATGTGTCGGCAGAATGCATACTGAGAGTACGCATAATCTGTTGTCACAGTGTAATAGCAAAATCTCATCAGAAATATCAAACTTGTGCAAGCACGCTATGACAGCAGAAACACAGCAACAATGGAGCATGCTCTGCCGTCATACGATGACATTTAATTTTTAAAATACAGGATCTGTGCGACGCAATTTGACAACAGATTGTCGGCAGAAATCGAGCAGGATCTGCGCACAATCTCTGATAGCAGATTGATGGCAGAAACGGAACAGGGTTTGCATGATTCGATAGTTCCTTCACTTACCGCTACGTGAGCTGTTCTTTCTCGTAATTGAATTTTTGTCAGAAATATATATAAAATCACGAATATGAATAAAAGAAAAATTGAATTAGTTTTTCACTATATGAGATATAACTACGATATAACATATTACATATATGTCATTTTCTAAAAAAATTCTAATTAACTTGCTGATAATATTGTTATTTAGCATCTGTAATAATTCATTTTGTTGCATTTATATAACATTAATAAAAGTAAGCGCAAATCTTGTTGAAGTTTCTGCTGTTAATGCGCAGATTCTGCTCGGTTTCTGCTGACAATCTAACATCAAATTGCACGCGTAGATCCTGCTCGATTTCTGCTGTTATATCATGACGACACACTGTGCTTCATTTCTGCTGCATTTCTGCCATCACATCATATTGACACATCGTGTTGGGAAAAAAGAAACTTAAGGAGGACACAGCTGAGCGATATCTGCTGCAAATTCATGATTGAATCTGCTGTTATACTGCTGGCATACTGCTAGCATTTTGCTATCTGGGTGAAGATATATTTTTATAATCCCGAGAAAAAAAAGTCCATATAAAATTGGCCATATATGGATTTACTTATGAATAAACTTCCCGATAATAAATTTTTTATGTATATTCATGCAGAATTGAATATAATTTTACAAAACCATATATGTATAATTATGAATAATAGAGTACAGGTCATTATATATATTTACATATAAGTGCAATAACTGTTACATATTATATATAAGTTAATTATATATAAGTGCGCATTTTGCATACTTATACATGAATTTCTGTTAGTTTAATATGTAATTATATATAAGTTTTGCGTCATATATAAATATGTATAAGTAACATGGATTTCTGTCAGTTTAATATACATGGATTATAATTATACATGGATTTCTGTTAGTTTAATATATAATACTATATAAGTCTTGCGTCATATATAAATATGTATAAGTAACAAATATAGTTCAGATACAATCATACATAATTGTATACGATTCTATATAAACGAGAAATTTTGATCGAAATTTATATGTATCTTTCCCTCAATGCACTCATGAACAACGGATAGGTGAAACATTTTGTTTTGTGCTTAATGACCCGGTAAAAAAAGTTCATGTCTATTTATATAAAAAAAGTAAAATTATATACAGTCTTATATGATTATATATAATATCATATATGATTTTATTACATCAGATTTTTACGTTTTTGTATATGCTTAGATATGATGTCCATCTCTGACCATTTCTGATCTCTGACCATTTCATAAAAAATTAGATGTTAGATACCTACGTCATTTTGTTCAACAATCAGACATAGTTAGATAATGATATCATATCTAAGCATGTATAAAACCAAAGCAAAGGTTAATTTCATGTACGCTTTGATATAAATTATATATGATATTATATAAATAGTGAGACTAGGCCGGTTCTAACCCAGGACCTCTCAGGGGGGGTGAGGCGCGAGGGGAACCGCGGTGCGGGGAGAGTGACGTCACGCGCGGGGAAGGAGGAACCGCGGCGCGCGGCGGGTGATGTCACGCGCGGGGAAGAGGGATCCGCGGCGCGAGCGATGGACGAGGGGGTCCGCGAGGTGAAGGAGGATCCGCGGCGCGACCGATGGACGGTGGTGTGAGAAGGACAGCGCTACGTACGGGGAAAGGATAGTGCAAAGTGTGAAGAGGACAGTGCTACGAATGCGACAAGGACGGCGTTAACGTGGGACAAGGACGAGTATATTCTAAGCGAAAGAAAGAGAACGATAATATTTTAAGACAACGCTTGCGAGAGAGAACGATAATATCGCAAAGACTTGCAACTAGCGCGTGCGAGAGAGAACGATAGCGCGAAAACGACATGTACAAGGGAGAACGATAATATCGCGAGACTTACAACTAGCGAGTATGATAGAGATTACTAATTCTAAGCGCGAGAGAAAGAGATAGACTTACAACTAGCGCGAGACTTATGATTAACGCGCGCGAAAGAGAGAACGATAATATCGAGATTAACGCATGAGAAATAATGATACTTAAAACTAGCGCAAGAGAGACGCAGGGATGGGAACGCGAGGAGAGGCGCATAAATAATTAGATTTTTTTTTTTTTTTTACGGATATAAAATACATTACTCAAAAAAATTAAAAAGGAACAAAAAATTTTAAAAATTTTTTGGGTCATTTTTGAAGCGCTGTAACTTCTAGACAAATGATCGTACAGAAACGAAAAAAAAGCATTTCGAAGCTTGAAATCTCTAGTTTATAAGCCTTACATGGAAAAATTTTTTTGGAGCTTCCGTCGAAGAGCAAACAAAAGAAATATGTCGAAACAAAAAATTTCGAAATTTCTTTTCAACTTTAAATGCATCCACGGAGCGATTGAGGACAGTGATTCATGCAAGAGGTGGCAACACCCGATATTAACATCACACGCACGAACACACATCTTAGGGATTGAGTTTGGAGTCATTAAATACCGCGGAACTGACGAGCCGTGAGGTCTCACATCCTTAAGAATCGCAAACACACACACACACACACACACACACACACACACACACACACACAAGAAGCGTAAATCCGACCATCCAACCTCCACGTGGTACGCTTTGGGTAATGCTAATGGTGGCGGTCAAATTTGATAAAGAAATGAGAAAAAAAAATTTTGAAAAATTTTTTAGAAATTTTTTTTTTTCCAAATTTCACAAGTGACGAATGTGAAATCGTAGAGGAAAAACAGAAAAAAAAGTGTTTTTTCCATGTCGATAATCATTAATTGATGTTTTAGAGTGACGTTAAACGTGTTCCTTTAATTTTTTTCAAAAGTTTGATCATTCGGGAAAGAAAAACGAATGAACCGATCGCATTGAAATTTTACAGGGCTATTGGGGATACATTAAGCTTAAAAAAAACTTGAAAACATTAGCCTTTTTGTGATTATTTGCAAAAGTGCAGTAGCTTCACTGAAAAAGCAAAAAAAGTCACTTTTTTGTACTTTTTTCAAACCAATGTGAGAGGTGAAAAAAAATTTTTTTCTTCAAACGCATGAAAAGTGCTTTTAGATAATTTATTCAAGTTTTCAGAACCGTCCTTAGATTTCCTGTAGCGTTATTGGTTCATGAGATATCAGAGATTAAAGACAAAATGGTCACTTTTCACTCAATCGTCGATATCATCGGAACAAATGGTCGTACAGAGTTCGTTCAAAAAGCGAATTAAAGGTAAATGATCAGGCTTTCTGACCTTAGTATTGAAAAAGTCCCAAAAAATTTTTTCAAGTCCGTGGATGCATTTAAAGTTGAAAAGAAATTTCGAAATTTTTTGTTTCGACATATTTCTTTTGTTTGCTCTTCGACGGAAGCTCCAAAAAAATTTTTCCATGTAAGGCTTATAAACTAGAGATTTCAAGCTTCGAAATGCTTTTTTTTCGTTTCTGTACGATCATTTGTCTAGAAGTTACAGCGCTTCAAAAATGACCCAAAAAATTTTTAAAATTTTTTGTTCCTTTTTAATTTTTTTGAGTAATGTATTTTATATCCGTAAAAAAAAAAAAAAATCTAATTATTTATGCGCCTCTCCTCGCGTTCCCATCCCTGCGTCTCTCTTGCGCTAGTTTTAAGTATCATTATTTCTCATGCGTTAATCTCGATATTATCGTTCTCTCTTTCGCGCGCGTTAATCATAAGTCTCGCGCTAGTTGTAAGTCTATCTCTTTCTCTCGCGCTTAGAATTAGTAATCTCTATCATACTCGCTAGTTGTAAGTCTCGCGATATTATCGTTCTCCCTTGTACATGTCGTTTTCGCGCTATCGTTCTCTCTCGCACGCGCTAGTTGCAAGTCTTTGCGATATTATCGTTCTCTCTCGCAAGCGTTGTCTTAAAATATTATCGTTCTCTTTCTTTCGCTTAGAATATACTCGTCCTTGTCCCACGTTAACGCCGTCCTTGTCGCATTCGTAGCACTGTCCTCTTCACACTTTGCACTATCCTTTCCCCGTACGTAGCGCTGTCCTTCTCACACCACCGTCCATCGGTCGCGCCGCGGATCCTCCTTCACCTCGCGGACCCCCTCGTCCATCGCTCGCGCCGCGGATCCCTCTTCCCCGCGCGTGACATCACCCGCCGCGCGCCGCGGTTCCTCCTTCCCCGCGCGTGACGTCACTCTCCCCGCACCGCGGTTCCCCTCGCGCCTCACCCCCCCTGAGAGGTCCTGGGTTAGAACCGGCCTAGTCTCACTATTTATATAATATCATATATAATTTATATCAAAGCGTACATGAAATTAACCTTTGCTTTGGTTTTATACATGCTTAGATATGATATCATTATCTAACTATGTCTGATTGTTGAACAAAATGACGTAGGTATCTAACATCTAATTTTTTATGAAATGGTCAGAGATCAGAAATGGTCAGAGATGGACATCATATCTAAGCATATACAAAAACGTAAAAATCTGATGTAATAAAATCATATATGATATTATATATAATCATATAAGACTGTATATAATTTTACTTTTTTTATATAAATAGACATGAACTTTTTTTACCGGGTCATTAAGCACAAAACAAAATGTTTCACCTATCCGTTGTTCATGAGTGCATTGAGGGAAAGATACATATAAATTTCGATCAAAATTTCTCGTTTATATAGAATCGTATACAATTATGTATGATTGTATCTGAACTATATTTGTTACTTATACATATTTATATATGACGCAAGACTTATATAGTATTATATATTAAACTAACAGAAATCCATGTATAATTATAATCCATGTATATTAAACTGACAGAAATCCATGTTACTTATACATATTTATATATGACGCAAAAATTATACAGGGTGACCCATTTTAACTTAGGCAGCCAAATAACTCGAAAAATAAGCACACTACGAAAAAATGGTTAGAATCAAAATTCGTTATTTCGAGGGGGACGTACAATGACGTTAAAATCAGCCCCCCCACCCCTCCCCCTGGGCGGTGAGGGGGGGGCAAGTTTGAAATCTTAAATGGAACCCCCTATTTTTCATCAGAGCTTTCCAAAACACTAGAATAAAATATTTTTTTATTGAGTACTTTTCGAGTTATGAGGCTTGAAATTATTTCTTAATTTAACATAAACCGTAATATATCTAGTAAAATATTCATTTTTCGATTATGTTGCTTTAATACTTCTATGTACAAAATAATGAGAGAAATCAATTGGTGTAAAAAACACATAGTTGTTTCAAAGAAAAAATATGTAATTGTTAATTGCAAATTACATAAGTTTATTTGATAATAGGAAGTTTATTTGATAATAAATTATCGATGAAATGATCGATAATGAGCGATGATTAAAATTTTTTACATGTTCTTCACGAAAATATGATAAACAAGTCGAGATAAAGTAGTATAAAAGACGCAATATTTCCTCAGTAATAATATTGAATTAAAAACGGTAAGAGGTGTACTATTAGTGGAAATTGCTGATCTGCCAATCAAAAGTGATTTTTTAAACTTTGTTCAATTTAATGGAGACTATGGTCACACTTCATAGTTATTGTGAAGGTAAATTTTCACGTTTTAATTATTCCAAGAGGTTCAGTACATATTTATCGTTACGAAAATGAATTAAAATTAAGATCTTCAAATGAATGTATTGAATATGCTAATAGAGCAAGTCCCGATAATCCTGTCATGATTATAAAGAAACACATTGTTTTTTTAAATCTTATGTCAGATTTTAACGGAGGAATTGGGATTGATAGAATGCATTGCGTGAATGGCGGTGTCGCGAAAAAGATATTATTACTAGTTTGATATTAAATTTCGAACTTTTCCGTTTTCTGTGTATGCTGTCATTGATGTCATCAATAGAAGGCTTATGGCAATCAAACTGTCAAAATATATGCATCGTATGCCGCGTTATATATAAGATTTATTCCACTGGAAAGCAAAATTGAAGAACATGGCTTTCATTATTCTGTTCCAGTTCTCAAGAGAATTTTAAGACAAGATTATTTCAATCATTATCTTCTTCTTTTGATAGCAATATTCATATTAAATTCCGAACAAATCATTTTCCATAATAAATATTGCTTAAAATTTTTTAAATAAATTTATGTGTGAATCAGAACATTTGAATTGCAATTTTGTTCGTTTGTTTTTCTTAATATCTCTCAACTTGGTACTCACCTGGTTTGAGTCTGTTCAATATTTCCGACACTTACCAAACAATGTTCTAAAAATAGTTTCACGATCTTTCTCTTGCTTAGAATACGAGAATTTAAATGGTAAACTTTTAAAAGTGGAATGGAACGTGGCATATTGATGCAACACAAATTACAACAAAACGATATAATTACCGGTATAACTAGTTTATAAGAAATTATTAGATTAATAAATGAAATACCAAGAGGTTCCGTTTATAGTAAAACCTATAAGTAAAAATAAATATTTCCAAATTGCTACAGTGTTGATGCTTATAAGAAATTACAGAGATTACAAATATTATTATTACTCCAATGTACAATACAAGAATTCCTAAAACGGTCTCATGGTGGTACTCCATATTTTACATTATTAAAAAATAACTGCTTACATGTGTCGCGTATAAAGCAGATTTACAGACAAAGTTTTCTGTTGTGAAATAAACATATAAATAATGAAGGTCAAATGCAATTCGTTGCTTTATTAAAACTATTCATCAGAATTGCAATAAAGAAAAAGACATTACGCGATTGTATAAAAAATTGCGATTGTGTATTTGTTGTTCGTGATGATTATAATACAACCGATATTAATTTTTTTTACAAAAATATCACAATATAGATAACTTTATAGCTATTTCCTAATGAAACTTTAAAATGTGTAAGCGTATATATGAAAATCGATAATCAAATGTAGATAGAAACGCCTATTAAAAAAGAACTAGAATAGTATATTTTTTATGTATATTTATGTATATTTATTATCCATTTTATTATATTCTAATATTAATTGCATTAGTTTGAAATAATAAAAATTATTCTCGATTTGTAAATCGAGTATTAATATATTTTTATTAGTGCTGAAAATTTCGATAAAATTTGAAGGTTTAAAAGAGATAAAGAGGTAAAAGTTGTAAAAACAAAAATACAAGAATTCAATTTTAATAAAACGATTATATGTGCAATTTAAAATTATAAGAAAGAATTTTTATTTTTATAGAGAGATAGAAAAGTTAAAGCAAAATCTTATTATTCGATGATCAAGATGCCTACTTATTTTGAAGGTGATATTGTCATTGCGGGCATTTCAGGTAATTATATTACCACAAATTATAATACAACACCAATTTTATTATAAGGTGAATGTTTGTAATACATCGATATTTTTCCAGGCCGTCTGCCTGAATCATCAAACATTGAAGAATTTAAGGAAAATTTAATGAAAGGGACGGACATGGTCACTGAGGACGAGCGACGTTGGAAACCGGGCCTTTACGGTTCACCTTCTAGATTTGGCAAACTTAAAAATCTTCACAGTTTCGACGCTCCTTTCTTCAAGATATCTCCTAAACAAGCGCATGTAATGGATCCGCAACTTCGCATTATGTTAGAAGTGACACATGAGGCATTGATTGACGCTGGTGTCAATCCTTCCACCTTGAAAAAATCGCGTACCGGGGTGTTCATTGGTGTTTCCGCTTCCGATGCGAATGATTTTTGGAAAACCAAGCCGGACGGTAAGTACATTTTAAAACTTATCGTGAAAATTTTTACCCGTTAAAGTCATATTATGAAACAATATTCTTTAATAATTAAACCAATTTTTATTTATTTAATCTTAGAAATGTAAGAAACAAGATGAAAAGTTACATTAAAATTATATTATAAAAAGATATTTTTTAGCTAAAACAGTTTTGAAATATTTAATATTAAACATATATGAAATATACGTAAAAATGCATAAAGAATAATAGATTCTTTATATTAAAATATTACACAATTAAAAAAAGCATATATAAGATTTTGAAATAAATATACAATTATAATAATTAAAACATTACTTTTTCACAAAAACATATATAAGTTTAAAAATTAGATTTATAATATGTTATACATGATATTTATATTAATATCATATTATTTAATAAAATTAATATAAATGTTAAAATTGGCAAATAAGAGTTAAAGCGTGGTAATTTGAGAACAATAGAAAAAAATTTTTTTCTTTTTTATTAATGTAAATAAGAACTATGATTAATAACTTATTAATAATAATCATAAAAAGGAAAAAAGAGTCTGAACGATTTTAAATCACGTTTGTGTTCTTTGCTATATATATTATGACCTTTAAAATGAAATTTATTTATACTAAGTAACGATTTGCATATTTTCAATTCGTTTATTTTTGTTTCTCTTTCTGTTTGTTTTTATTTTAACTTAATGTTCTTCTATCACCAATGAGAAGGGTCACAGAACATCGAAATATTAATTCTATTATATTTCTTTAACATGTAAAATTTTATTACACATCATTTACAGCATACACCCTCTAATGGCACACATTTTTTTGTTATTAATTAATTTTATTAATTAAATTAATTCAAAGTAAACATGATGAGAGACTCAGTTAAATTGTTGCCTTTAATAATGGCGTACCGATCATTATTAAAATTTTAATTTTGCTACAAGAACACTTTAAACTTCAGTCAAGACATCCTTTAAATAAGATAAAAAAAATTATCGTCTGTAAATTATCTCTTTGTAGGATATGAATGGCTCGGAAGTAGCATAGCAATGATGGCAAACAGAATCTCTTATACCTTCGATTTAATTGGACCCAGCTTTTCGGTGGATACACTTTGTTCTTCATCTTTGACTGCTATGCATGAGGCAGTCGTGGCGATACGCACTGGCGATTGCGACGCAGCGATCATTGGCGGATTGAATATTGTGCTTAATCCGGTTCACTATCTTCATTATCATAAAAAAAATATGCTATCCACAGAAGGTAAATGTAAATCATTCGACATCTCAGCTGACGGTTACGTGAAAGCCGAAGCAGTGGTCGCAATATACCTGCAGAAAATGACAGACGCGCGCAGAGTATATGCTACAGTAATAAACACAACGATAAACACGGACGGCTACAAGCCCGAAGGTGTCATGTATCCGAATGGTGACATTCAGTACCTGATGTTACAGAAAATATACAATGAGGTGAATATTGATCCCAAAGACATAGTTTACGTGGAGGCGCATGGTAGCGGTACCAGAGCGGGAGATCCGGAGGAGCTCGGTGCCATCGATAAGTTGTTTTGCAAAGACAGAAAGACACCGCTGTTAATCGGCTCGGTTAAATCAAATATGGGACACGCAGAACCTACCAGTGGACTGTGCGCGATCGCCAAGGTGCTGATTGCGATGGAAACAGGTGTGATTCCGGCGAATCTGCACTTTGTTACTCCAAATCCAAAGATTCCCGCGTTGACCAAGGGACGTATTCGCGTACTTGACAAAGCTACGCCATGGAACGGCGGTTTTGTGGGTATCAATTCATTTGGCGCCGGTGGTACGAATGCGCACGTCATTCTGCGCAGCAATTCCAAGGTAAAAATGTCATTAGATACCGTCGAGCAGCAATTGCCGAAGCTGGTCGCCGTATCGGGCCGTACAAAAGAAGCTGTACAAGTATTATTGAACAAGGCAAACGAGCATCGACAAGACAATGAGTTTTTATCTCTACTGTACTCCGTGCACAGTGATAACATACCGAATCATAACATTCGTGGCTACGAAATACTCGCTTATGATAGTACGCGCGAGATTGTCGAGGCGAATTATGACGAGAAACGTCCCGTTTGGTTTTTATTTTCCGGTATGAATACTCAATGGCCGGGTATGGAACGCGAATTGCTTGACATCGAAACGTGCCAGCGTAGTCTACAACGATGCGCCGATATATTAAAGGAGCACGATGTTGATCTAATGAATATCATCATTAACGGTACTGATGAAACATACGAAAACGTAATGGTTGCTACCGTGTCAATCGTGGCCATTCAAATCGCTCTCGTCGATATGTTAATATTTATGGGTGTGCAACCAGACGGTATAATTGGACATTCCCTTGGAGAAATAAGTTGCTCGTATGCCGATGGTGCGTTTACCCTAGAGCAAACAATTTTGGCAGCCTATTACAGAGGCAAATCGATTATAGAATCCAATTTGGAAGCAGGCGCTATGGCGGTGGCAAATTTGAATTGGGAGGAAGTCAAGAAGATGTGTTTAAACGATATCGTTCCAGCCTGTCATAATTCCGAGGATTTGGTTACCATTTCTGGTCCATCCGTATCTGTGAAAAAGTTCGTAGAGGAACTGAAGAGCAAAGATGTCTTTGCCAAAATGATCAAATGCTGTGGCGTTGCTTATCACAGCAAATACATTGCTCCAGCTACATCCAAAGTTCGCGCTTCCCTCGATATGATTGTGCCGAAGCCAAAGAAAAGATCTACCAGATGGATTTCTAGTTCGATACCCGAGGCCGCATGGGATAGTCTACTCGCACAATTTTGTTCATCGGAGTATCACGTGAACAATATGCTGTCACCTGTGCTTTTTCAGGAGGCGATTACGCATATTCCGAAAAATGCGATAACCATCGAAATCGCGCCACATTGCTTGCTACAGACGATCCTGCGTAAATCCCTACCATCCACGGTGACTAATATCGGTCTCCAAAAGCAGAATCATTCAAATAATTTGATCTTTTTACTATCTAATGTAGGAAAGATGTACACAGCCGGCGCGCAGCCCGACATCTCTAAACTGTATCCGTCAGTTAGTTTTCCTGTCAGTCGCGGAACACCGATGATTGGATCATTGATCAAATGGGACCATTCTGCTACATGGACGGTGCCCGATTTGAAGCATCAGATGAAAGAATCGTCTGGAGCGCTTGTTGTAGAGATAAATTTATCGAGTGAAACAGACGCATATTTAATGGGACACCAAATCGACGGGCGATTTGTTTTCCCAGGCGCCGGCTTCATATTCATGGTCTGGCAAATCTTTGCGAAACTACGCGATACCGATTTCGACCGACTATCAGTAATCTTTGAGAACGTATGGCTTCAGCGCATTACCTTCTTACCGGAGAATAAAACAATCAAATTTTTCATAAAACTTTTCGAAGGAAAGGGAGATTTTGAAGTCCTCGAAGCTAATAGCATTGTAGCCAGCGGGAACATCCGCGCCGCTGAAGCTATCGAGATAAATCAGTTGAACTTACCACCGCTCCCGATACCGTCTACCGAGCTTTTATTGAATACGGAGGATATTTATAAGGAATTGAGATTACGTGGATACGAATACAATGGTATTTTCAAAGGAATAAAATGCTGTGACATTTCTTCCACCGTTGGCGAGTTACATTGGTTTAATGAATGGTCTTCGTATATTGATAACATGTTTCAATTTAAAATGTTGTCAAACGACCGGAAATTAGTTTATGGCTCGAAGTGTCGATACGCCATGATCAATCCCGTTCTTCATAAACGAATGATCAATGAGTTACCGAAAAACGGCGGATTGCCGATATATCACTATAAAAATGCCAATATAGTTAGATCAGGCGGTATTGAATTAAGAGATATGAAATATACCGCACCTCAGCGACAGCAGAAGACTAAACCTAAATATGAACGTTACGTTTTCGTATCTTATGAAAATTCGCGCAGCTTGGTCTTGAAAGATCCAAAGAGACAAAAGATTCACATACTTACTGTACTATTACAAATTGTATGTGAAAATGTAACGACATCGAGAATCAAGGCCATGGAAGTTGCGGATAATCGAGCCGCGGAAGAGTTTTTGGTGCCGCTTGTACACGATATTCTTTCTTGCGATCCCTTCATGACTGTAAGTACTCGTTATATAATTTTAATAATTGTTGTCGACGTCAAAGAAGTGAACAAAAATCTTGGATAAATAGTCTCAAGCGATTTATAGTATAAGATACATATTTTTTTCATATATATACAATTTTCATAAATGCAAATTGTGATATATAAAAAAACTTTTTTTTAAATGCACGGCATTCTAAATCCGTGTCTATCATTTTTATCGTTTTAGGTTGATTTACAAGTAGCCGTCAGTTCTGCGTGCGATTATAGGACAAGTTTCGATCAAAGGGGCATTAATATTAATATAATTAAATGGGATGCAAATGATACATTCCCAGCTCAGAATATGCATCTCATCATAGCAGCGGAAGTTCTCTCTGGCCGTACTCTCATCAATTTCAAAAATCTAGCGGCTACCTTAAATTCTAATTGCTTTATTCTTCTAGAGGAGACTGGTATATTCGACTTAAAGATTGCACTAGAAGAGGCGAATCTGATGTTAATTAGTAAGCAAATCGACTCCACGGGAAAGAATTATTTCTTATTGAAAAAACGAAAAGAAGTGAGAAAAGAACCGATCTTAATACAGATTACAGGAAACGATTTTTCATGGTTAGCAAATGCGAAAGCGGCATTGAGAAATTGCGACAGTGAAAAACAAGATGTTCTTTTTGTATCTCAAAGCGAAGAATTACTTGGTAAGTATACATGTTTATACATAATTTTCGAAATGAAAAATTTATGTTTAGAAATATTTATTTAAAAATCTTTTTTTCGAGCTTTATCCGAGAGTTTATCAGCGAATCATTAAAGATCTTGTTTTTTTTTATTCTCAGGTATAGTCGGATTCATAAACTGCATGCGACGCGAGATGGTAAACGTGCGTTACGTTTTCATCCAGGACAATAATGCTCCCAAATTTGATTTATTCTCGCAGTTCTATGCGGAGCAATTAGAGAAAGAATTAATGGCTAACGTATTGAAAAGTGGTCAATGGGGTAGTTATCGGCACTTGCAATTAGATAAAAATAACTACACGGAAGTAGAGCACGCTTATGTGGATATATTGACGACAGGAAATTTAAATAGTTTAGCATGGATTCAAAGTCCGTTAACGTATTGTCAGAGCAAATATCTAAATTCACTTTGTAATGTGCACTATGCGTCATTAAATTTCAGGCAAGTTTCAACGAAAGTCACTTCTTGCGACTGAAATGATAAAAATAACGAATTCGATGTAACTATATAAAATACGACGAAATTATATAAACAACGAATATCACGTTGATAAATATTTATTGATAAATTTTATACTAATAGGGATATTCTGCTGGCGACTGGTAAACTATCAACGGATGTTCTCTCATCGTTAGGACTTGTTACAGAAGACTATGTATTGGGATTTGAATTCTCCGGGACAGACGCAGATGGCTGTAGAGTAATGGGTTTATTAGACAAATCTAGAGGTTTGGCGACCACCGTGTTGCCGGATTCCGGTTTTCTTTGGAAGGTACCTGACAAATGGACACTGGAGCAAGCGGCGACAATACCGGTCGCTTATGCGACCAGTTACTATGCTCTGTTTGTACGAGGTCGATTGAGAACGGGCGAAAACGTGCTGATTCATTCTGGTGCGGGTGCCGTCGGTCTAGCGGCAATCAACATTGCCTTGCACGCAGGCTGCACCGTCTTCACTACTGTCAGCACAGAGAAAAAACGATTGTATCTCAAGAAGACCTTTTCGCAATTGACCGACAAGCACATTGGCAATTCCCGAGATACGAGTTTTGAACAGCTGATCTTGGACGAAACCCGAGGACGTGGGGTCGATGTAGTATTGAATTCACTGTCAGAAGAGAAACTACATGCCAGTGTACAGTGCCTCGCGAAGAACGGTCGCTTCCTCGATATTGGGAAGCACGACATGTTGAATGGCAATCGCATAGATATGTCTCTGTTTTTAAAGAATACTTCTTATCATGGTATACTTTTAGAATTGTTATTAGAAAATATCGAGGATAAGCGAAAAACGGTTAGACTAATCTCGGAGGGAATTGTGAATGGTGCAGTACGTCCATTACCGACGACCGTATTTTCGAAGCAAAGCCTCGAGGAAGGATTTAGATTTATGGCAGGCAATCATATCGGTAAGGTATTGCTGAAGATTCGCGACGAAGAACCTCAGAAACATATGCTGCCAATGCTAAGAACAGTAGCGGCCATACCACGTACTTATATGTATCCAGACAAGTCGTATGTGTTGATCGGTGGTCTCGGTGGATTTGGTTTGGAATTGGCCAATTGGATGATCACCCGCGGCGCTAGATTCATCGTTCTCGTGTCACGTACTGGAATACGCACTGGTTATCAGACGTCCCGCGTTCAACATTGGCGCAATAATGGCATCAAAGTCATCATCTCTGCTGCAGATATCACGACGTTATCGGGCGCCGAATGTTTAATCGACGAGAGTAATCGGTTGGCTCCAGTTGGCGGTATATTTAATCTGGCCGTCGTTCTACGTGACGCTTTGTTCGAGAACTTACAAGTGGCCGACTTCGAGACTGTAACCTTGCCAAAAATCAATGGTACGAAGAATCTGGACGTGATATCGAGAAAGTCTTGTCCATCATTGGATTATTTTGTCGTGTTCTCGTCCATATCGTGTGGCCGCGGCAATGCCAGTCAATCCAATTATGGTCTCGCAAATTCAGCTATGGAAAGAATAATAGAGCAAAGACATACTGCTGGTTTGCCCGGTCTCGCTATTCAATGGGGTGTTATAGGAGATGTCGGTTTGTTTGTTGGTGAGACATTTCTCTATTTCTTTTTATGAGATTCAATGGGAATTATATTTTTGTATTTAGGCGTAATTTATAAAATGAAAAGGAACAATGTGATCCGAAAAAGAATCGAAGATCCTTTACATAAAAAATATTTCCATTTTATTCTTTAAAAAGTATCCACATAGCCAATATAATGATATGATTTTTAGAGGATAATTTATTACATTATTTATTTTTATTAATAGAGACATTAACAACTTTTTATTGCAAGAAATATATAAAACAATAATTGTAGAGATATTATTAATAGGACATAATTGCAAACTAATAACAATAACGTAATATTATTAAAATAAGAGTGCAAATTATTGTAGATATTTAAATATATAAATTATTTTGGCCAGATTATCGAAGCGATCAGTAATCATTTTTTACATTCGATATCACTAAATGATACTCTGATTTTTGCAGATACAATGAAGAATACAATTTTTGATGTAAGATATGTTTTACCGCAACGTATGACCAGCTGTCTTGAGACCTTAGATATTTTTCTTCAACAACCATATCCAGTATTATCGTCTACAGTGATAGCCGAGAAACACAAATTTGCAAATAACGACGACAAAGTTGATATCATCCAAATCGTTGCTAATATCCTTGGTATTGAAAACATCTCGGCAAATATCAATGACAGCTTCGACAATCTCGGCATCGATTCGCTAAGCTATACGGAGATAAAACAGATTCTTGAAAGAGAATATGGTATCTTATTATCGTTCCGAGAGATGTATGTCTTAACTTTAAGTAAATTATTAGACTTATTAGCGAAAAACAATGTGTCTCACGATTCTTCAACAAGTTAAAGAAGTACAAAGATGATCGCAAATCTACAGAAAGAGAAATATATTCTTTAATTTTAATGATATGACTTTTCTTAAATTTTTTTACCATTTTTTTTAACATCTTAATTATAATAATGATTATATTTTAATGTAATTTATGATAATTGTAATAATAATAAATATTTCTAAATTGATTATATGATTTTGTTAAAAGAATTATTTTTTTGTTTAGACATGTGCTTAATATATTATGAATATTTAAATAAGTTATAAATATTAAATCTGTAATATTCAAAATAAGAGATGTTAGTCAGAAAAGGTAAAGACTAATGCTATACGATGCCATTGGCAGAAATATTTCCAAATATTAAGTTCTCTTATAATAAGTTCATGAAAATGGCCAAAATTGCCATTTTTGGACTGTTTAACCACAACTTACTTAAAATCTGAAAACGTGCTAAGGTAATTCTGTAGTCACATTCGTTTTCAGCGTTAAAAAATCAATTACATTCACTTGCTCTGCATTTTATAACTGACCTTCGCAGGCTTGTGTTATCAGTAAATAATATATATACTATAATTTTGTCATATTAGATCTACATATTATAACAATTATATTATTATATATTATGGCAATTAATAATTTGCCTATTTGATTAACGCTTTGATTGAATTCTTTTTACTTAACGGATTTCTGTAATATTTTACACTTTTTATGTTTTTCGGGTTGCTGATTACAAATCTAAAATAAAATTTCAAAAATTCAAAATGACGAATCCAATATGGTAGTCAGAATTAAAACCATTAAAATATGTATAGAGACGAAAAGAAATATATTTTTATTAATTGTTAGAAATTTGGGACCAATTTGAAACATTTTAAAGAGCTGTTCCAATACAGGCACCATAAAAAAGAAATAAATGTATGTATACAAATATGAAAAAAATAAGATTTCTAAAATTCCGTAAACATCTACTACGTTTTTGAAAACTCCATTGTTACTCCATAGTCAAAGATCTTTCGCGATCGAGTGATTGATTGATCGCGGATAACATATGTATAGAAAAAGAAAGTTTTACAATAAACAAGTAGTTCACAGTAAACAAGTAATTTGTTTATGAGAAAAAAATCTAGCCTGCGGAAAATTATACTTTGTTATACATATGCATATAGAGTGATAATATTATATAATATATTATCATTTTATATGTATAACAAAGTATAATTTTTTACAGAACGTAATATAATCAAATAATATATTTATATATTTTGATATATAAAGAATGTTTAATAAAATTTTCAGCCTCTAACATTAAATATTTTTCGAGGAAACAAATCTGATAAAGAAAATCATATTTTCGCAGAATTATTTGTTTATAAATAATTATAAATGAACATTTGAATACAAGAACAATAAGAAATGTAAAGTAAGTATTAGTACATCAGGAAAATATGTAAAATCACATTTAGTTTCATTAAATTATAAATTTTATGTAGTAAAAATGAAAAAAAAACTTTCGACTGCTGATCAAAGGATTAATTCTCTCGTATGAGAAAAATTAAGGTTTTTATCCACTGAAACTGAATCTAGACGAACACGGAAAAATCTCTTTGATGGATTCTATGGTAGTCAGAATTGAATCCTTCGAAATATATATAAATGCAAAAGAAACATATTTTTCATAATTATTAGAAATCTGATGCCAACTCTATAAATTTCAAAGAGTTAATCCAATACAGACTTCATAAGAAAGAACGTTTGGAAGTATGAGACAAGAAAAATACGAGCTATAAAACATTGAAAAACAATAATTTATGCAACGAACTAAAATTGTGCTTACATCAAGGACATAACATTAATATAAGATAATTTTAGAAATGTGTCCAATGTACATGTCCATCGGAACACGTACGCATTACTATAAAAGCTATCTATCGTTGTGAATCAAACCAGCAGTTTAGTATATATAGTGTATTAACAATTTTGTTCTATTACGATTGAATAAAAATAAGTATGCATGTATTATATAAATTACTATACTTTAAAAGTTCATTTTTTATTATTGTTTGTGCTTTTATATCTATGCTTATTATCTATGCTTTTACCTGCTTATACTTATGCTTTCTTTTTAATTTAGATGTCTCTTTATTAAATTCATAAAAATAACATAAAAATAGAATTAAAATATAATTATATGATGAAAGTATACTACTTTTTTATAAACGTGAAAAATATTTGTAAGAAGGACATATATATTAATACTTTACAAACACATAAATAATATAAATATGTAATATAAAAAAATTATAATTAAAAATTATAAATTATTTATTGGTAATTCATGATTATCTCTGTGAATATCTGAATAAAGAGTGTCATGAATAATAAGCCCGTCATGAAACACATAGATGAATGGCAGCGTATAGCGATATAGCGATACAGAAGAATTTGTGAGAAGTGTTTTTGAATACAACTTTACCAATGCTGAATTTTGCATTAAATGTGCTTTGCTATAAATTTTGCTATAAGAAAAATTTTCAAATTTTCAAAATTAAGAGAGGTGAAGCGAATTTCGAAAAATATATCATTATCGAAAAAATCTGATTACACTGTCATAGATTCAAAACTATAAAATTTTTATTTAAAATTTTTTTTGTACCTTTTATGGTTCCAACGGTATTCGCTCAGATATAAAAACTGATTTTTTTTTAAAGAGCCATTCATCCCCTTAATCGTAACGGTCGTATAGGCACGTACAAAAGTGTTTTTTATTTTGATCCAGACTACAACATATCCAAAGCTCATCAAAATCGGAAGGAAATTCTTTCGATTCTTTCCTTGTCAGTAATATTATTTATAATGTGCATGATATTAATACTATAAAAACTGTTGTTTTTTAATTTTTTTTTTATTTTACTTCAAAATTTTATTAAATATTTCTTATTTAAAAAAATAAACAAATAAATATTTACAGTTATAATAGAAATAGTACATTTCATTTGTTCTTTTGTTAATAAGTTTTTTAATAAACAATGAGATATTAAAACTTTTTACATGTTTACATTCAAGGACATTTAAGCAGGGATAACAAAATGAAGTATAAAAAAGAAACGCAATTTCAAAATTATTTAGGCATTCATTGTGTGTATGTGATTCTGCTCTCAATATTTCTTCTATAAAAGTCTTCATATTTATAAATTTTTACTGTTAATCTCTAATTCTTATTTTTAATCTTATAAGAATTTAGTAAATACATTTGTAGCATTTGCTGTTGTATGCTTAAATTTAGAATTAAGCATACCGATGAATTAAAAAGATTATCATTACTAAAAAGCTTGTAGATTGAAGTTCGATAAATCTTAATCATCTCAATCGTAAAAAATTAGTGAATGAAAAAATTAAAAACATAAATAGCGTGGCAGATAAGCTTTTTCCTGATTAAATCACTCAAATAAGTTTTAAACAGTAAGTTTTTCTTATATTCTAAGAAAATTAATGTCAAATTAACAAAGTAGTTAATTAATTTTTTTTTAATATTTTTAAAATATAATTTTTCATTGTGTACTTGTCTTTTTATATATTAAAATATTACGATAGAAACTTCAATAAAAATAAAGCTATACAATACGAACGTAATTTAATTCCATTAAAACAATTATATGTATAAGCTAAAATTAGAAGAAAGAATTTTTATTTTTACAGAGGAATAAAAAAATTAGTTTAGTCTCAGGAAACTCAAATTATTTGAAGATCAAGATGCCTACATATTTTGAAGGTGATATTGCGGGCATTTCAGGTAATTATACCTCTCTCGAATGGTTGTGATACAATCACAATTTTATTATAAAATGAATATTGTAATACATCGATATTTTTTCAGGCCGCCTGCCTGAATCGTCAAACATTGAATAATTTAAAGAAAATTTAATGAATGGGACGGACATGGTCACTGAGGACGATGGACGTTGGAAACCAGGCCTTTACGGTTTACCTTCTAGATTTGGCAAACTTAAAAATATTCACAGTTTTGATGCCTCTTTCTTCAAGATACCTCCTAAACAAGCGCATGTAATGGATCAGCAGCTTCGCATTATGCTGGAAGTGACATATGAGGCTTTAATTGATGCTAGCGTCAATCCTTCCACCCTGAAAAAATCGCATACCGGTGTGTTCATTGGTGTTTACTCTTCGGAGTGCGAGTGATTTTTGGAAAAGAATGCCGGACGGTAGGTACATTTTGAAAATTTATTGTGAAAATTTTTGTCTGTTAAAAATCAGTACATAAAACAATATTCGTAAATAGTTAAATCAATTTTTAAATATTAAAGTTTACAAATGAAAGAAACAAAAGATTATGAAAATTTCCATTAAAATCATATTTTTGAAAGATATTCTTATGTAGTTAAATCAATTTTTAAATATTTAATATTACAAATATAAGATATGTACGAAAAATACATAAAAAATACGTGATAAATTCTTTATACAAAAATATTTTTTTACACAATTGGAAAAGTATATAAGATATATAAGATTTTGAAATGAATAAGCAATTAAATAAAAAATTAGTTTTTCACAAGTACATAAATAAGTTTAAACATTAGATTTGCTATATTTGGTACATGATATGCATTCATATTATTTAATCAAATTAATATAAATATTAAAATTGTGGTAAGTAAGAGCTAAGGCGTGATAATTTGAGCACAATGGGAAAAAACTATTTCTTTTTTATTAATATAAATAATAACTAATAATAACCTATAAATAATAAAAAAAATAACTTATAAATCTTAAAAAAGAAAAAAGATTCCAGATGGTTTGAAATCACGTTTGTACTTTTTATCATTTATTTTATTCTTAGAAGTAAAAGAATCCTATACTAATTTAATGGAAAATAATATATTCCGTTGAATTGTATGAATTTTTGACAAGATTTAGATAAATATTTTATTCAAATTTAATCAAAAGTAATTTTAATCAAAAGTCTCAATGGGCACAATTCTCGAAAATGGACAGTTTCGGCGCTGTTAAGAACGTTGCCTTCGTACATATGCGACTAATGATACAG